GCCAGGGAAGAGTTTCCTAAAAATGTAACCTGTGATCGGAGTTGCGCATTTTAAATTGTCAAGAACATCTCCCCCTCAAAAAGAGCTAGAAAAAAGCCCAAAGCTGGTGTTATTCAGGGTAAATTGTATGGTAGAGCTTTTTTCCCTAAGAAACCAATTTGTTTTAAACAGGCTTTCTACCATTCTTTTATGTAATTTTTGCAGAGCCAAAGTTAGACAAAACCATGGTGGTCTTTGTCTGGGTCTCACACTGTGTAGGAAACTGCGCTCTCATATTTAGTGTAGCCATTTCCTTAGCTGGTAAAATGCATCACACTTTCTGTGTCTTCCATGGACCATGGCGATGCTACAGAAGCTGAAGGATCCACCTGTGATGGTCTTGGCTTGACCATTCAATTTGTCCCTCTCTGGTTCAAGACATAGGAAAAGGACAATGTTAGCACAGAAGGGTTTACATGCCAAGGAAATGGTGTAATGCACCAGTGCTGGAGTGGAGAACCTTTAAGGACCTGCAGTGATAAAATTCAGAGCCCAGACAAGAGGGAGTCTGTTTCAGAGAGAATTATTTATTAGAAGATAGGAGGCTGTTACGTACAGATTCTGTCCTGCAAAAGTGTCCTGGTCATGGATTTGTCGGGGAGACATTTAAACCTGTTAGAGCTGGCTTTGGTCTCCACACAGAGATACTCAAGACACAGCAGAGCTTTGCCAGACCTGGCTCTCGTGCTGGTGCTCAGCTGGGGAGAGGCCTGGTGTACCACAGCATCCCTGAGCTCATTACACCGTCTTTATCCCACTGGAAAACCTGGCCCGTGGGCTGGAAACCAGCGGTGGGGATGCCAGACGATGCTGCAGAAGGAGCACCGTTCTTCCCTGCGATGACTTGGAGATATTTTCCCCAAGTAGGGAATTGTCTTCCATTGTGCCAGCGATGAACATGGCCGAGCAAGTGGCTACAGAGATACAACCATGCTATGAGGTAGCATGAGATAAATTAAAAGAAAAAAGAAAAAAAAAAAGATGTCCATGATACAGAGAAGAGCTCGTCCCACCCTCCCTCACCCCAAAACCAGGCCAAGCAGGCAACGCCTGAGTCCCCTGCAGAGACCTCCGAGAAAGCAGCTCTGACAGGTGGATCACAAAAAGGCAGCAATTTTGCCTCATAACAGTTGTGCTCCTAGCAGTATTCTGCCCAGTTTCATGGGTGACCTCTTTTGGATTGGCAGGTAGTATTTGCCAGCCTTTCATAACGTCTCTGCACAGCCCCTGTGGTGGCTCAGGGCTTTGCCAAAAGAAGCCCAGGTGAATCAGAAAGCTGCTGTGCTGGCTCTGTACCTCCCGAGCTAACGCTAAGCCTGTGGTACGCTGGACAGAGCATGGGCAGCACTGGTGGAGGGGGCAGGGACAAGAGAAATGGCAGATGAAAGGCATCAGCCATTACATTGGCCAGTGGCCAAGCCTCCTGCAGGCGGGGAGGGGCTCCGCAGGGGGGTAGGGGGTCCC